AGAGAGAGAGAGAGAGATTTGAGGAGGGGGTGGGGCTCAAAGACAGACAGTCAGGGTTCGGGAAAAAAGTTGGAGGTCGGGGTACAGGAGCTCTTGGACTCAAAGAAAACAATACATTTTAATAGTATCGTATATTATGTTGGTTTGCTTATACGTGTTTGTTTATGTGTATATGCGTTGTGTGGGTAATAAGTTTGTGTACTTGTATGTATGTGTATTTGTGTGAGTATGTATGTGTATGTGTATGTTTATATGTGTATGTTTATGCTTGTGTGTGTTTATGTGCATGTGTATTTGTTTGTTTGCGCGCGTGTGTATGTGCGTGTGTCTCTACGTGTGTGTGTGTGTGTGTGTGTGTGTGTGTGTGTGTGTGTGTGTGTGTGTGTGTGTATGTGTGTGTTATTGTGTATGTGTTTGTGAGTGCAAGTGTGCTTGTAAGTGAATGTGTAAGAAATCAAGATCAAGACAAAGAGAATAGGATTTCCAAAACGAAAATGTGGAAGAGAGTAAGGGGGAGGGGGGTGAAATCAGTAAATGAATGTTTTATGCAGCATTCAAGAATAAATTTGAATCTCTCAGCTTTGGCTCGGGGGCCTTAACGGACCCTGTGGGGTCTTGTCTTTATTGTCAATAAGCGCATGCCGAAGAGGGGGCAGCGGGCAGAGGAGTTGGAGCAAACATAGGCCAACTCTTTTATCTGTGGAGTCAATTGAACACAAACTGTGTAAATGGGACGGGTTTCAAGATTTGCATGCGGTTTCTTTTACACGTTCGATAAATGAGATCTCTAATCCACTCCCCCGTACTACTAAATGATAGATCTATGAACGTGTTATGCTTTTTCTGTAAAGATCGTTTACCACTTCGTTATGTATTTTTGTTGATCAAATCGAAAAACTGGATTTTTATGGTGAGGAGGTAGAGGGGGGAGGGGGGGGGGGGTTAAAAACCAATCAAATATTATGACTGTGGTTTTTCACAAACACAGCTTGAAAAGCACAGTCTTTTTCTCTGTATTGTAGGCCTATATATTTGTTGAATAAATAATGATTGTATAGCCTAATTTCATGATTAGGGCTAACATTTACCGAATAGATAGATAGATAGATAGATAGATAGATAGATAGATAGATAGATAGATAGATAAGTTTGTCCTTTCCCTAATTGTTAGACTGAGTGAGTGAATTATTGACAGGTAAGTTAAAACATATCCAACTCAAACACATCAAGAACTATGGCTCCACGTCGCAGTGGATTGATTAATTATTGATTGATTGATTGATTGATCGATTGGTTGGTTGATTTGTTGATTGATTGATTGATTTATTTATTGATTGATTGTTTGATTGATTGATTGGTTGGTTGGTTGGTTGGTTGGTTGGTTGGTTGATTGGTTGGGCTGTTTGTTGGTTGGTTGATTGATTGATTGATTGGTTGATTGATTGATTGATTGATTGATTGATTGATTGATTGATTGATTGATTGATTGATTGATTGATTGATTGATTGATTGACTGATTGATTGATTGATCGACTGTCTGACTGACTGACTGACTGACTGACTGACTGACTGACTGACTGACTAACTGGTTGGTTGGTTGATTGATTGGTTGACTGATTGGTTCATTGATTTATGTATAACATTGCCAACTTGCACACAGCACGAGCTATGGCTCCATGTCCAAGTGGATCTCCCGCCAACACGAAAACCCCGCCCCCCGACCGGAAGTGGCACGTCATCTTATGGAACGAGCCAATCCCAGCCCTCAGTTTACAAAGAAGCGACCAATCATAAAGCCGTCACCAACAGGCATGCCCTCGATGTACGATACCTACATGAACAAATCGTCTGCTGTGGTGAGTGCAAAGACAATCATTGTCGTCGTTGTCAACGTTGCCTTGGGCTGTTGGCGCATGCTCCTGTGCGGGTAGCTCCTTCTTTCCAATTAAACATCTATCGTATTTATCTTGTTTCCTTCTTTTTTATGTTTGTTACTCTCTTGTAGCACCTCCAATCTTCGGCACTTGTCATGTTGCAAGTGCTGTAAAACTCTTACAAAAATTTGCCTCATTGTCATCATCAAAATTGCCATTCATTGTCGGTCATTGTGTTCATTTTTGTCTGTTTTAACGGTGTGTCAGTCTGGGTATTGGTGTGTATGTCTGCTTGAGTGTGTCTGTCTTGCTTGTCTGTCTGTCTGTCTGACAGTCTGTCTGTTTATGTGTTTTTGCATGTGTGTCTGCGTATCTGTCTGTCGTTCATAGTGCTATTTCAGATGTCTTTTTACAAATTTTACACCGGTACTTTTCTTCTTGTAGAGGCTTTGAACAAATAACATTCTTCAAGATAATCTCTACTGCATGTTAGAGGGGAAGTGGGGAAAATATCTAAATCGCTTCCAATGTTGACTTTAGCAGCTGCTTCCATTTATAAACTGACTAGAACACAACTGTGTATATCTAAATACATGTAGGCCTACATACATATTGTTATCATTATTATCATCATTATTATTATCCTTTTTATTATTATTGTTATTATCATCATCATCATCATCATCATCATCTTCTTCTTCTTCTTCTTCTTCTTCTTCTTCTTCTTCTTCTTCTTCTTCTTCTTCTTCTT